TTGGTACATGTTGGTTTGATTAAAACATTTTTATTTATTACATTGTTATTTGACCTTATCTTTTAGGAGGGCTCAGTGTGTTCCTGTTACCCTTGGGGAATGTTTTTGTGCCATTCTTGATATTGTGGTTTTTGTACCACACTTCTGGAATGTGTTTGTTTGAGTACTTTGTGCCTTGCACGTTCTAGGAATGTGTCTCTGCAATACCAATGCTGTGCTTGCCCGATTCTGTGAATGTGCAAGCGGGCAGAGCCTGACGTTTGCTCACAGCCTGATGTTTGCCTTATATTAGCAAAGCTTGCTACTACTTCAGCTTAGGCCTTGTACCAGGCCTTTAATACAAGGGCTTATATTTTAGGCTCTCTTCCTACTACAGCCCCCCACCCCCTTGAATGGGAGCCAGGCGCCGACACTCGTTCCATCAGTTTGAACTCTGGGGAAAAGGAATAAAATGCCTGGCCAGAAGGAGCTGTAGCACTGCTGAGCTTGGCACTTGGGGAGGGCAAGATTTCTAAGCATAAGCAAGGGATCCCCGAGTAGCTCAGCTTGGGTTAGCCTGGAAGGACAAACAGAGCTTGGATGTTACAGCAGCTTCTATTGCCTTTTGGAACTTAAACCTGGGCCTGTCTATCACTAAGGCCGGTTTGCTAGACCAGGGTGCCCCTGGGGACTGTCTGTGGCTCCGTGGTAAGGCTATTGCAGGGCTGGAGGAATTCACACCCGGTACCTGGTTGGTGTGAGCTCTTTTGAGAACACCCAGCCAGTTTCGGGGCTGCCCTGAGGTTGGCACCCACGTCGTGAGCTGCTCCAAACCACCTGACACTTAGGGTGACCAGATGTCCCAATTTTATAGGGACAGTCCTGATTTGGGGGTCTTTTTCTTATATAGGCTCCTATTACCCCCCACCCCCATCCCGATTTTTCACACTTGCTGTCTGGTCACCCTACACTGGTCAGAGCCAGCGTAGCAGGGAGAGGGGATACTGGGCTGGATGGACCCATGGATCTGTCCCTGCTCTGTTTAGGAACCAGCCAGGGTGAGTTTCCCGCAGGGCAGAGGGAGGTGAGTGGACCTCCTTAGCTGCAGCCTGGGGGTCTGGCTGTGGTGAGGGGGGTCTCGGGCTTTGGGGGGGTTCTCTCCAACAGGCTGTCTGTGTAACTGATGCTGATCACACTATGCTGCCCCCTTCTCAAAGCCCAGCCCAGTCCTGCACAGCAGCCAGTGCTCACCCAGTAATGAGATTTAATTTTGGGCAATGAAATGCCACTAAAGTGGCGGGTGAGCTGGCTTTGGGCTGCGTGGTAAGATGATAAGCAGTGTAACATGGGCTGGTTGCAGAATTGTGAACTTGGGTCAGGCCGGTCACCTTCCCCGTCCCCTGCCCAGCCCTGGGGGGTTGGGGGCCGATTCTGGGAAGGGTTGGGGGACGAGGTGCTGGGTCCCTGCCCGGGAGAAGGGGTGTGCACTGGGCATCATTCTGGGATTGCTCAGCCCCCAGCATGGCCAGGCCCAGGGCAGGGGGCACCGGGCTGCAGTCCACACCCACAAGGGATGGGCAGGTTGGGGGGGCAGGGCTTGCTCAGCCTGGGTTTGGTTAACTCCGACCTTCAGACAATATTTGATTTAGGACCCGATGGATGCACCAGTGCTGCCTACAGGAGGCACTGCCACTGCCTGGGAGTGTCACCCATCCCCACCTCCTGCCTCCCATTGCCCCACCCCAAATCACCCCCTGACCTCCCCCACCCCATGCACTGTATACAGCTTGCAGTTACTGTAAACCTCTCCCCCTCCCTGCTATCCCCACTGCATCCCCCCAGCCCTGCTGTAAGCCCCCCAAGTCACCTCGCTCTGCCCCAAACACACTCCCTCCAGCAGGGTCTGGATGCAGGTCTCTGCAAGCTGAGCTCTTCTGCAAGCCTGGTGCAGCCTCTCCTAGGCTGTCGCCCCCATGCCTGGCCCTGGGTCCCAGCTCCGCCCTAGTTATGATCCACCTAGTCCAGGCCCAAAGGTCTTGGGGGCCCTGGCACAGCTGGCACTGGGAGGCAGGGGCATCTTGGCAGCCCATTCCCACCAGCCCCCAGGGCTGGGACCAGCACAGTGATCAGCTCCCCCAGACCCACTGCATGGGCTGATGCATGCAACCCTCTCCAGCTGCCCTCACCAGGGCCTGGGGCAGAGCGTGGCAGCACCAGGACAGCATCCTGCCCTCTGCCCTGAGAGGGACTGGAGGCTGGGCTTGTCTGCCGGATCCACCCTCCTGCCTGGCACCAACCAGGCCCATGGCTGGCTGTCTCAGGCCTGCACCACCCTCATGCTGCTGGGGGCAGGGCTGAGAGGTACAGCGTGTGTGGCTGGGGTCCCGCTTGCTCAAGGTGCAAGCCTGGCGTGCACACGGAGCCCCGGTGGCAGCCCAACTGTAAGGGCAGCCATGGTGGGAGCTGGTGAGCCCACAGTTGGGCAGGTGTCTCTGCTGGAGCGTTTTAATTCCGCGCCCCCAATCGGCCGCCCACACGCCTGGCAGCCACACAGCAATTATCCAAATGGCTGTTAATTGGGGCTGATAATTCCCCACAGGGATCAGGGACGGAAAGCTCCGCAGCTGAGCACATTGGGGCTGGGCCCGAGCAGCAGACCGGAGGTGCCAGGGTCTCTCGCCCCGGCCACAGCAGACACGCAGCGCTGGCAGGGCTCATTTGCCCAGCAGGGAGAGAGGAGCTGGCCCAGGGGGCAGGGGAAACAGGGCCTGCTGGGCTCGAAGGAACTGACCTGTTCCAGGGCACATTCCCCAGCAGGCTGCGTGTGCAATTATTAGCAGAGGTATGAGGGGAGAGAAGGATGGGCAGAGCAGGGTGCGCTGGGAGACAGGACTCCTGGGTTCTGTGCTGAGCTCTGGGAGGGGAGTAGGGTCTAGGGGTAAGATCAGGGGCTGGGAGGCAGGACTCCTGGGTTTCATGCCCAGCTCTGCCCCCAAATCCATGTGAGTCACTCCCCCTCTGGGTTCCTGTTATTGAGGTTTCGTGTCACACGGGTGCTGCTGGGCATTTTCCAAGCCCTCTGAGGGGCTGGGATCGTCTTTTGCCAAGCCTGGGGCACTCTGAGGCTGGCAGGTGCCGGGAGAGCCATGGCAGGGTGCGATGGGTAGAGGCACAGGAGGGGTGCAATGCAGTGTCTGGGCTGCAGCGGGTGTATGGGATGAGAGTGCCTGACCTGGCTGGTCCCCCTAGTGCTGCTGAGAGGAACTGCATTTTCTCCCTCTGCCTGTCTCCCACCCAGGGCAGTCCACAGGTGGGCTGGGAAGCAGGTGCCTGCCCTCCCCTCCCCTCCCACCTGTGAACCAGCCAGGGGCACTGGGCTTGAAGGGGTGCTAGCCTAACATGGCCTAGGCCAGGCCCAGATGATCACAAACAGGGTGCGCCCAGCCAGGCCATCCCTGCGCCAAACCTGGCTCAGCCCAGGCGCCACCCCAGCCCCATGGCTGCATGGCCAAGTCAGTGCCCTCCTGCCCCATCCCCTCCTGCCTGCAATAGCAGTGCTGCCCTCCCCCACACGGTGGCCTGGCTGGGACACTACAGGTCAGGGAAGGGATCACAGGCAAGCAGGGCCACTCAGTGACTCTGTGCATCACCAAGATCTCCCAGTACCTGGGTAGAGGCAGGTTTGGTCCTTGGAACAGCACAGCTCACCGGCCTGGAGCTTCCCGGCCAACTCATGGGGTGCGCAACCACCTGTGGCTGGCAGTGTGCCCCCTGGGCACCAAGGGAGCAGGGGATGGGCTGGGAGAGGGCAGGAGGGGCCACAGCTCGTGAGCAGGTTGAGAGAAGAAGTTAAGGAGAAGGTTGAGGAGAAGTTAGACATGCATGGCCAAAGGTTGAAGCCTCAACCCCCTCCCCTCATGACTGAGGGGTCTGATCCCCCACCACGGGCATCCCTGGTCTGGGCCCTGAGCCCCCATATGGTACTCTCCTTGACCTGGCACTGGTCTCTCACTGCCTCCAGCTGGTGGGGGATGGGGTGGGGCTGCTGATGACGCTAACCCCCATGCCCAGTGACTACCCAGGCAGGGCACATCTCCGTGCTGAGCCTGGGCAGCAGGGTGCAGAAATGGTAGGAGAATGGGGCTCTCGCACAGTCCCTCCTTGTCTTCATCTTCCAATGGGGGGGAAGGGGCTGGAGAAACTGCCACTGCACCCTCAGCTGCTGGCACAGGCTAGAAGGTGCCAGAGGGGAGGCCTGGCCGGCGGGATGAGCCTACAGCAGCTGCTCACACAATGCAGGTGCCAGCGCAGGAACAGGGCCCCAAGGGCTAGGGGCCAGCAGCAGGTGGGGTGGCGGGACGCGCGGCAGCTCTAGGCACAGGAGGATGAAGGAGGTGGGGGTTGGGGCAAGGGCCAGGCCCTAGAGGGGGAGCAAGGAGGCAGGTGTTTTGTCCCAGATCTGAGTGGGGAGTGGGGGCTAGTGGTTAGAGCAGGGGCTGGGAGTCAGGGGGCTGGGTGGGTACAGATCCCTGTGGGGGCAAGGTTAGACTCCAGCCTGGGGGCTGGGCCCTGGTGCTCGCTCAGTGCCTGCCCCAACCCCACACTTGATGGGGACTCTATAGCTGCTTGGGGGGACTCCTGGGGCTCCCTGCTGGTCCCTCTGGCACATGGACCAGAGAGGCAGAACAAGGGCATAGGGGTAGAGGGACACAGAGAACTGTGTAGGTTCTGGGGCATGGCTGGGTGAGCCAGCACTGCACCAGCAGGAGGCAGCCGCAGGCCAGAGCAGAGCTGCCTACAGGCCCTACTCCAACAGTGAAAGGAGCAGCTACTGCCCCACCCTCCTTGGGGGGGTGGGTAGCACTGGCCAGGTGACTCAGAGCCAGGATGCCTGGAACCTGCAGCAGGGTCTGAGCAGGAAGCTGGGAAGATCCCAGGGCATCCCAGGCCCTCGGCCACACACTGCACCCTGTCCCCTCCCTTCCCCCGCCTGTGAAGAGCAGCAGAGACCTCAGCCAGTCTTTGGCATCACACTTTATTGGCCCAGACACATGCCCAGCAGGGCAGTAGCCTGGGGGCAGGGCCAGCACGGAAAATACACACCTCTTTAATAGCTCTGGGAGGTCACTCCCAATAAATGAGGTCATCGCTTTTACCTGGGGTCACTCCTGCCAACGCTTGCCTCAGCACAGCCCGGCTGGCGGGCGAGAGGGAGGGGACCTCTAGGGGCTGGGGGATGCAGGGGGCGAGGCTTGGCTCAGGCCTTGATCAGACCCAAGGGGGCTGGAGCTGGGTGCCCCAGATGGAGCTGGGACTCCAGGTGCCCAGGGGGTGGCTCTGATACCCAGGGAAAGGCACTGGGCAGGGGCATTTATCCAGGCTTGGCGGGGCAGTGAGCCCAGCCTGCGTCTTGTAGAGCCGTAGGTGCAGCCCAGCTCTGCCCCACTGCTGCCCAACACCCTGGACGTGCCTTCTCTGCAGTCCTGGCATCACCCTCAGTTACTGAGGTACTCTCAGGTGTCCACGGGTGGCCCTGTCCAGGTAACGGGCCCAGCTGGCTGCAACTCCTACTAGGGCCCCTCCCCCCTTCTGGAACCAAGGTCCCCACTAAGGGGACAGGGCCGAGAGGCCAGGGTGCAGGGAGCCAGGGCTGGGTGAAGGGGGATGATATGGGGGCAGAAGGCGGGGGTTCTCTTTAACCCTTTGCAGACTGGACAGACACAGCCTAGGGCTCAGCAGCTGGATCACCCCCCCCCCAAGCCAGATGCTGGTAGCAGCCTCTGCATGCCCCCCCACCACTGGCAGCTGGGGGAGTGGCTGTCCTTTGGGTCCCAGGCAGGGTAGGTAGGAATGGCTGAGGCTGGTAGATAACAGAGCCTGACTCTCCCCCACCGGGTGCAGGGTGGCCACAGGGCACAGAGGGTGGCAGCCCTAGGACCCTGTGCCAGAGGGAGGGAGTCGAGCCTGCCCACTGCCCCAACAGCCAAGCAGCCTGGGGGTCCCTTCCCCCCCCACTTCCTCAAGAACCAACACCGCTGCCAGACGTAGGGAGGGAAGGTGCCTTGTTGAGAAAAGCAGGTGGAGTTGGGGGCAGCGAGCTGTGGGGAGCAGAGTCTCTGGGGGGTGGAGGCTGATTCTAGGCCTCTGCAGGGGCTGCCTGGTCGAGGGCTTGGACGTCATCCAGGAAGCGCTTGGGGGTCAGGATGTGACTGGAACCTGGGGGGGAGAGAAGTGGTTGGCAGTGGTGGGCACAGTGGGGCGGGCATGAGGCTGGCATCACCATCTCCCCCATCCTTGCAGCTGGACCCTGCTCTAGTGCAGGGGGGGAGGGGCTGTCTCCTGCCCCCCCTGTCTCCCCCATCCTGGCACCACACCCCTTGTGCTGCTGTTCCCTACACATCCAGGCAAGAATCCACCCCACCCACTGATAGCGTTCCTCACCCTTGGGTCTCAGAGAGGTGTGTGCAGGGGGTGAGCCATATCCCTATGGTGTTACTGGGGGTGTCTGATTGGGCCCCCCTACATGGTTCCTGAGCAAGGAGGGGCCTGGTGAGCCAGAAGCCAGGAGATCAGGTGGCCAGATACAGGCCATGTGGGGCTGCGAGCAGGTGGGGCAAGCGCATCTGTTCCCAGGGCCCCGGGTGCGGGAGGACAGAGGGTGGCATGGGCGCCCTGCGGGTGCTGGGCAGGCAGTTCTAGGGTCTCCCCCTCCCAGGGGGTCCCGACTGTCCCTGACCTGGACATTCCAGCCACCATCCCCCCAGGACTCGCCCCACTCACCGATCACCACCTCCCACTTGCCCTCCGTAGCCTGGGTCACTTCGTAGGCACAGCGCATCTCAGACATGGACACCCCACCCAGCACGTAGATGATGAGGCGCGGGCCCGTCCGGTACTCGGCCGCTGGCTTGTTCTTGTGCCAATGCCCGAAGCGGGCGCTGCGGGGAGAGAGGGGCAGTGTGGATACCAGGGGCTCACTGAGGGAATGCCAGGTGGAGGAGTGGGCACTGCCCGAAGCAGGCACTGGGGGAAGAGAGGGGCTTTGTGGATACCAGGGGCTCGCTGGGGGAATGCCAGGTGGAGGGACAGGGCCTGGAAGAGGCTGGGGGGCAGGCCCTGCCCAAGGCAGTGGGATAGGAGACCCAAAGCAGGCAAGAGGGAGTAGGGCAGGGTGGCACCTGCCCTGGGCTGGGGGTGGTGGCATCTAGAGCCCAGCAAGTCCCTTTCCTCCATCCTGAGCCCTGGTGTGCTGAGGGACTGCTGGGTGCGGGGGACATGGTGAGAGGGGGCCAAGGGCTCCAGGCTGTTGGGCACCCCCCCACACCATAGAGGGCCGGGTCCTGGCCACGCACAGAGGCTCCTACACCCGGGGGGTAGGGAGGGTGTCAGGGCTCTGCCCCCCACAGCCCAGCCAGGCTCAGCCTTACCTGACAACAGCCTGGGGGCTGGCGGCAGGGACCGGGTCTGACACGAAGGGCCACAGCTTCTTGTCCAATTTGTCCTCAATGGTATCCTGGGGGTGGTGGGGAACAGGTTAGCAGGGGCCAAGCAGCAGGAACCTCGGACATGGGAGCCAAGCCAGGCCCCATTGGTGGGGAGGGGCTGGGAAGGCTCCTTACTGAATGATTGACAGTCCCTGGGGGGAGCAGCCTGGGGCCCCCTTTCCAGGGTGGGGCATGGGGAGCCAGCAAAGAGCATGCTGACTCCTCCTGTGATGCTCCCCCACATCCCCCTCAGCTGCTCAATGCCCTGCTGTGAACTCCCCATCCATCCACCGTTATGGGGAGGGCAGAGACCTCCTGAAGCTGGATCACGTTGGGGGGGGGGGGGAGGGGGGAGGGAGGGAGAGGGGCAGCAGGGGGCTGCCCTCAGTGCCCCTCCCTGCTGCGGGCAGATCCAGGCCCTGCCTCTTGCCCCATGAGGTGTGTCCCAGCCACGCAGGGGGCCCAGGCTATGATACATCCTAATGCCACATAATAGGGGCTTTTACATTAATCTGCTGCGTTGACTTGTACCGGGAGGCTTAAGGCCTGTCGAGCTGCGGCTGGCGCAGAGGGGGGGCGCCCCTGATTGGATTAGGCACTGGAATGAGGCTACCACAACTGCCTGCCCCAAAATCCCACCGTAGGAACCATCACAGCGCTGGAGCAGGGGTCTGGGAGCCCCTGCCTGTGATCTACCAGGGACAGGGTGTCTGTCAGCCTGGAGGAGCCCCAAGCCAGTAGGTTGAAGGCAACTAAGTGTCCTCCTCCATCCCTCCCTCACTCCCACCTTCACCTTGAGGAGTGCCCCAGTGGGGGGCTTAGCCCCCAGCAAGGATGGGGGGAAGAAGTGACCATGTCACCTCTCACAGGCTAAGCAGGTTTGGGCCCAGGCAGCGCTTGGATGGGAGACCTCTAAGGGTGCTCTATAACCCCAGTGCGGCACTAGGGGGCGCTGTACTGCAGGGAGCGGGTGGAGATCTCAGCAGGGGGAGCTCTCCCCTGGCAGTCAATGACCAATTCGTCCTTCAGATGATTGTCAAACAGCTGCTCCTCACCAGAGGTTAGGCCAAGGACCCTGCCGGCCATTCAGATTCCAGTGCCAGTCATGACTTTGGGCTGCCTGGATCCCCTGCACTTCCAGCCCCGCACGCTGATCACCTCCTGCCCTAGACTCTCGGGCAGTGCTGCTGTGCGGCTGTTAACAGCTGCCTGCCACTCCTCAGGAAGAATTCAGCCCCGGTGAGGGACCTCTGTATAAACCACCCGTGCCCCACCCCAGAGGTGGCAGCATCTCAGCACCGGGTAAGACAACTCCCCTGCACTCGTGTCTATGATCTAAGACCCCTAAGGATGGCAGCAGAAGAGGCCTCTGATGGCTCACATGGCTAGAGCCCTGCAAGGATACAAAAATGTGGTTGTGCGTCAACCCGCGTTCCACTAGCCATCTTTTACCTGTATCCGCATCCTCACCCTCAGCAATAAGCCCTCACAAGGGCTAGCGAGGGGGGAAGGGGACTTGCAGGGAAGAGGCAGCGTGAGGATGGGGACTGGGGATAAGGGGCAGGGGCTGTGGGGAAGGGGTGTCCCATCATGTGCTGCTCCTGGGGGGGTCACAAGCAGAGACAGCACATGGCAGCAGCAGAGCATGTTGCATCACTGTGGGGTGGAGGGATAGGGCGCCGGGGCCCCACCCGCCCCAATCCCAAATCCTGTTGCCCAGGAGCTGGTGGGGACGCTGGTGCTGCTCGAGCTGCTGGACAGGAAGCAGCGCGGCAAGGGAAGTGGGTGCCGGACTGCGCCGACTCCGACCTGTCGCCCAGCCACTGGCCCCGAGCACGCTGTGTCCCCCGGGCTGCCTGAGCCGGACCCCGTGGGCCAGGCACTGCTGGGGAGAAGAGCCCTGCACGGTTGTATCTGCAGCCGATCCACTATCCGCAGAAACAGATCTGCAGGGCTCTACACATGGCTGACCCCAAACCAACCCCTTCCGCTTGGGCCCAGCCTGCCATGTGTGACCCCCCCACCCCAAGGCCAGGAAGCAGATGGCTGGGTACCTCCATGACGTCCTTGAGCCTGGGGGTCCAGCGGGAGAGCTGGTAGGTGGACTCCAGCCGCACCTTCCTCTCGGGTCGCAGCTGCCCACTCTGGGGGAGAAAGGGAGAGGGGGTGAGAGGCAGCAGGGAGGGGGTGCGGGATGGGAATGGGGGCAGACAGGGAGAGCGCAGCCTACCTGAGTCACTCCAGCCGGGCTGGCAGGAGAGAGGCAGAGAAAAGAACAGAATGGATCACTGAGAGAGAGAGAGAGAGGGAGGGGAGAGAGACTGATGGGAGAACAGAACTGTTTCCCCCCATTTGCTGCAGACGCTCAGGGTGGAAGGGCCACCCCATGCAGTGGTCACCAGCTCCAGCCCCTGGTGATCTGAGGGTCAGAACAGGTCACCCCAGATGAGGAGTATCTGGGGGGTCACCCCCATATGGGGAGGGCGTCACCCCACTATACAGGGGCAGAGGTCACCTCTGTGCTGGGAGTAGGTCACTGCCATGGGGGGCACCCCCAGGATGGCCTGGGCTCCCCTGCCATGGGTACAGCTGCTGGCCCCTGGCCCCAGTCCCTTACCCCAGGTGTGAGGGAGGTGCCCAGCAACTGCATGTTGTGGATGATGTTGCTCTGCTGCTGGATGTTGGCATGCTGGATCAGCTTGGTGAGGTTCTCCTCACCCACACCTGCATGGGGAGAGACAGGTCAGCGCCAGCACCCCTGGGACGCACCCACAGCCTTGGCACATTCAGTCCATGGCCCCAGGAGTCCTAGTTCCCTGATCAAACCCTGAGATCCTGCTCTTCCCACCCCTCTCAGAGCTGGGGGTAGAACCCAGAGGTCCTGGCTCCCCAGCTCTAGCCCACTGGACCCCACATAGTTAATGGTTGAATTTAGGTTCTTGCTGCTCCTCCCGCCACAGATTCTCTCGGGCGCTGGGGTCTCTCTAGCTTCCCCTGGCAGTGCAGTGGGAGCCCCCCACCCCCGATCTGGGCTCTGCCTCCTGCGGCCAGTCAGGTGCAGCGTCAGAGCCGAGACCTGGCTCTTTAAGGCTGTGAGGCCTTGAGCTGGAGGGAGGGCAAACCTGGAAACCATTTACTGCTGCTTAGCGCTGACGGGGAGGCCTGGCAACTCCACAGCGCCCCCTGGCCAGGAAACTGGGCAGCCAGACAGCCAGAGGAGCCACATGAGGGCACCCTGGCTTGGACAATGGACGCAGGGGCAGTGCCTGAGCAGGGTTACAGGAAGGGCCCCGGAGCAGGGCCCTGCCCCACCGAGCCAGCATGAGGCAGGAATCGATGGGGGAAGAGGGACTGTGCCAAGTATCAGGGTGAGGGAGGTTCCCCAGGCCTTGGAGAGCTGGAGAAAGGGGCTGGATGCAGCAAGAAGCAGGGAGCTGGTACAGGGATGACACAAGGGGTTGGCAGGGAAGTGGTTGCAGGGGGTTCAGAGACAGAACATGGTATCTGAACAGCCGGCAGGAAGGGAGGGATGTCCCCCCTACCTGTGGAGAATGCGCCGTGAGGCCGCTCGGGGCATGCGTCTCCTTCCCCCCTCCCTGCAGAGAACGGGTTGGGGGGCCCCTCCGGGTGTGTGCCTCCATCCCCGCTCCCTGCAGGGAACGGGCTGGTGGGAGCGTGGAGGGCAGACACTGCTCGGAAGGCAGCAGCGAGGAGCAAAGGCCGCCAGGTCCGACCCCAGGGGTTAGTGCGGAGCGTGGGTGCGGTGCACTGGCTGGCTTGCAGGCACCGAGAGGTGGGCAGAGGGAAGACAGGACCGTAGAGCCAGGCTGGACATAGGCCCCGGGAGGCGACTGGCTGGGAGGCGCCCTGCATGGCTGGGGGACTTGCCAGTTGAGCGGTGCTATTCCCCCCCAGCCCCACAGGCCTGGGCCCTGCCTCCAGGAGCGCCCCCTGCAGCCGCAGGCCTCCCAGTGCTGCGCCCTGCAGGCCTGTGGCGTTACCATTCTTCAGGAAGATGTAGAGCAGGATGATGCGGATCTTGTCGTAGGCCTGCACGCTGGGGTCCAGCAGGACGGGCACGATGATCTTCATGGGGTCCTTGATCTTCTCCCCATCCACATCCGTCCCCATGGCAAGGTCCTGGGGGGGGGGGGGCGCACACACAAGGCCCAAGTCAGGCTGCTCCACTTCCTCCCGCCCCCGCGGTGGGATGAGAGACGTGACGGCCCCACGACCCACAGCTCGCCTACCCCCTGTGCCAGGGCCCCCTCCTCCCTGGGGTCAGCTTCCCCTGGGGTGAGCAACGGGCCCCCAGGGAGTAACGCAAGCCCCATATCCCCCTTCTGCACCCGCGGTGCTACATGGGGGGGGGCTGGCCCTGGCTCCAGCAAGCCTGAGGGTCTGAGACCCCTTTCTCCGGGTTGAGTCCATGAGCCAGACTCTGCCCCCAGCCTGGCTCTGCCCACAGACCCACCTGCTCCACGCTGCACAGCTTCTCCACCGTCCCTTTGAAGTGCCGCATGCAGTGCTCGGCCAGGTTCAGGTGCGTGGAGTACTGCGGGGAGAGACCAGGCACGGGGGAGTTTACCGCATCACCGGTTGATCCAGAGCACCTGCGCCCCCCCAGCCCCCAAGGAGGGCCCCTTGGCCAGAGGGGCAGCCCCAATCGGCTGTGTCAGCCGAGTATATAGGGATTGTTTTGCCCAGCACTGATGTGCAGCCACCTCTGGGGTGGAGTGGGGCAGCTGGAGGGGAGGATCAGGAGGAGGAAGCAGCTTCTAAAACAGCCCATGGCTTCTCTGTTAGTCATCATGAAGTAGGGGGCTTGGAGACCAGCAGGTGTCGGGGTACCTGTGCCAGTGGCCAGGAGCTTTCTGTTGGCACATGGCCCAGTGGCACCAGGAGTGGCTCCAACGGGCTGGTTTGGAAGCCCACCAAGGCCCTCTCCTGAGAGCTGCAGCAGCAAGGTGTGGGCGTTACCCAAGGGCTGCCATTGCTGGGGCTAACGTGGCAGCTCTGGGCACTGACAGGCAGGCTGCTGCCCATGGTGCCACACAGCACCTGGGGGGGAAAATGGCTCTGCCTGAAGGGACAGGTCAGCAGCTCTCATCAGGCAGTAAGGCAGTCCCATCACTGGGGCAGGGCTCTCTGGGGAGGGACCCTGCACAGAGCTCCCCAGAGTGCCCTGCCCCCCAGAGAGTCCCTACTGTCCCTCACCAGCCCCACAGAGCACCCTACCCCCGCCCCCATCAGTCCCACTGAATGCCCTGCCCCCCACCCACCAACAGCCCCGTTCCTGTTACCTTGTTCAGCTCTTTCTGGTACTGGGGCATCTTCTTCAGGATCTGGGACAGGTCCTTGATGTTGGCCTGGGGGGAGGCGGGTGGTGAGATCCTGGCCCCTCCCAGCACACAGAGCCCCCTGTAAGGCAGAGGCCTCACCTGGGGACAGCTGCAGCAGTCCAGCCACGTGTGCCAGGGCCAGGGTGGGTCACTCAGGCCATGTTCAAAATCGGGTGGCACAGGCCCAGTGTGGCCGCGGCTTAGGTTAGACCTGCTCTTCCCAGGCCAGCTGGAACAAGCCGGGAGCCCCGCAACCCAAGCACCCGCCCGGGTGTAAAGCGGCAGCGGGCCAGGGAGATGCCAGCGTTGGCTCCCTGCAGTTGTCCCTGGGCGGCCCCGATCCTGCTTTCTAACCCCACCTCTTAGCCCTTTACAGGCAAACCCTGGGAGCAATGGGACAGCCTCTCCCCGCCCCCCGCCAATCCCTCCTAGGGCAGCTGGGCAGCCTCCCCTCCCCATCAGTGGCCGTGGGATGGGCCCCCCCATCCCTCTGGGCTGGATTCCCCACTCGCTCCACCCCAGCCCCCGTCGCACCTTGTCCGTGGTCAGCCTCTTGCTCTCACAGAAGGTGCGCAGCAGCTCCGTCACCTTCCTGCAGCAGGGAGAGAGGTCAGGCCGGAGCCAGGCACTGCCTTGGAGGTAGAGGGTGCCCTGTCCTATGCTACAGGGGACAGAGTCCCAGCCCCACAGGCACCAGGGTTTTCTGCCTTGAGAGCTTCAGACGGGGCAGGGTGGGCACCTCTTCCCAAGTTACCCCAAGGCAGAGAGTTCAGTGCACCCCTGGAGGCTCCTGGCACCCTGCTGGGGGGGTCTGGGGGCAGTGGCAGGCCCAGCAGGAGGTCGGTGAGGGACTCACTCAAGGGGGCTGTGAGGTGCATGGGGAGATCCTGAGATCAGGGGAAGACAGTGTCCAGGGGGATCCCCGAGAGGCGATGCAGACAGTTGCTCTGGAAGGGAGCGCTCAGGGGTTCTTTGGGGAGAGGGGCTGGGTCCAGGGGGGTCTCAGCACTCAGAGAAGAGCATGTCTGAGGGACGGGCCCCAGCACTGGGTGGGAGAGGAGTGTATCCAAGGGAGAGTGGGGTTCCAGTGGGTGGGAAGGGAAGGGGAGGGGTGTGTCCGAAGGGGAAGATGGGGGAATTCCTGGAACTGGAAAAGAAGGTAAGGGGTGCGTCAACGGAGTGGAGGGTCCTGGCACTGGGTGAGAGAGGTGTGTCCGAGGGGGGAGGTGTGCCGAAGGGGGGGTAGCGGGTCCCAGTACTAGGCAGGGCACAGAGTGGTGTGTTGGCTGGGGGAAGGAGGTGGGTTCTAGCCCTGGGCAGGGCATGGAGGGGGTGTGTCCAGGGGGGATGGGCGGGGCTGAGCGCGCTCACTTGGAGACGTCAGCGATGTGCATGTGGCGTAGCTGCACCCAGAGTTCGTCGTCTTCGTCCAGCAGCGCCTCTTTCTCCCGCGAGTCGCTGATGCCCGTCGTCTCGTACCTGCAGGGGAGGGGAGACGGGGTCAGGCTGCGGCACCCCTCCTCCGAGCATGGGGGCTGCGGAGCAGTGCAGGTGCCTGGGTCCCACCCACCCCAGCCTGCCTGAGGAGGAGTGCGGGGCGCCCCCTGCTGGCAGCCAGGCCCTACTTGTAGGTGTCGTTCTCGATGCTGAGCAGGTCGTAGGCCATGGCCTGGAAGGTGAGCTCATGCAGCAGTGGGGACACCAGGTCGAAGTTCCGGTCCACGATCAGCAGCTGAGAGCGGGCTTTGTCAGGGCCCTGGGGCAAAGGAGAGAGAGACCCGTCACCCCCTGCTCTGGTGGAGGGATCCTGGCCTGGCTCACACAGCACAATCCAATGGGCCCTGGTGGGCCTGAAACTTCACCACCCGCCCTCTCTGCGGCCCAGCCCCCAACCCCAGGGGGAAGCCGAGAGACACCCCCCAAGCTAGCAGGGACGTGCCCTGGGGTCCCGCCCTGATCAGCAGGGAGAGCTCCCCACCCAGCTGCGCTGCAACGCCCCCTGCAGGGATGGGTCACCTGCCCCTCGTGCAAATAGCAATGCCCCCCTCCCCCAAGCACGCTCTCTGCTCGTGCCTCTCCACCAACGGGAGCGTGCCCCTTACAAGGCAGCCCCCCGATTGCCCCTTGCCCCATATGCCGCAAGGGGGGTGGGGATACACTAGACCAGAAGACCTTGGCTAGTCTATCATTAACTAACACCAAAGACTCTTCGATACAAAGTCCCAGAGGGGGACAATGGGACGTTATCCCTATGCCCCACCTTGCATCTGAGCTGGGACCCCATATGAGGCTCTAGCTCCCCACTCCCAGCCTGGGTGGCCCCCCCAGCATCCAGCTGGACAGAGACCACTCAAATGGTCAGCATCTCAGACCCACATCATTGGGGGGCTGGCCCAGCTCCTGCTCCCTGCCTGATCAGCATGCACTGCCCTCTTAGCACAGCAGGTGGCGATAGGAGACCAGCCCTGCGCTCCCATGGCAGACAGCTCTGAAACCGGCTCCAGCAGCCCCAGTGGAACCCAAGCCCCCCCAAGAGCACCTCGGCAAGAGGCTGCATCTGCCCTTCACTGGTAGCACAAACAGCCGGGGGGCTGTGGACGTACAGCCCCTGATGCTTCCACAACTGTCCAACCTCAGTACATGGCCAGAGCAGAAAGTCGGACCAGCCACCACCCACTCACCTGGCAGCTCTCCACAGCCTCTGGGTAAATGGGTTGAGGCTGACAGGGGAGCGCCTCTCCCGGGGGAGTATCTGGCCCCATCACTGTAGCATCAGGACACCTCACTATCACTGCTGCATCCTGCCCCCCACCGCCCCCCCATGCACATGGAGCTGGGCAGGGCTGCCACCCCACTACAGAGGGGGATGGAGGCCCAGAGAGGCTGGGTGACTCACCCAAGGTCACACACAGAGTCTGTGGCAGAGCAGGGACATAAACCCAGGGCTCCCAACTCCCAGGGCCATCCTTCCTCTCCAGCTCTACCCAGCCTGGGTCGGTTGCTATGCCCAGCGTCCCCATCCCCCCCCGGACTCTGCTCACACTTTTGCCAAGGGATCTGGAGGGATCCCCGAGTGCAGATGGGGGCTGGCATAACCACCGGGTCACCCCACCCTGCCCAGAGCAGAGGGGCACTTAGTGCACTGGTGAGTGCCACAGCACTGCCTGGGCCAGCTACCCCTCAGGGCTGGCAGCTGGGAAACATCAAGGCAAGAGGGACTAGTGCAGACAAGGCCCCAGGGTGCTGTGACCGCGGGCTGGGTGGCTTTGGAGACCTGACTGCTAGAGGCCATGCTACAAGAGTCCCTGGGGTTCTGCGCCAGCTGGCAAGGCGGGGGCACACTGGACTGGCCAGCCCGGATTGTGCGGCATGGAGCCAGCACTGCATTGAGAGCAGGGGCTTGAGTCAGCACTCCCGGCCCTGCGGTGGGCGTGCTGTCTGGATTCTATTGAAGGGTCTGGGCAGTCAGGACTCCTGGCTCCTATTCCTGCCTCTGCCACCTACTCCTGGCATGCTGCTCCATGCCTCAGTTTCCCCCGTGTAACATGGGGATAGTGCTGACACCTGTGACAGGGAGGCTTGGCAAGAGCCTCAGGAATATCCCTGGGGGGGCTCA